AGAATACAAGTGACCCTTTAAAAGTCAGAAAAGTATGAAAAACAAGGGGAACTTGGAGAATGACAGATGTTTAAGGACACCAGTAGATAGAAGAGTTCTAGAATCCTAAATGGAGGTATTTGGGTCTTCTGTTCTAACTCCCACATTTTACAGAGGCTGATACAGATCCAGGGTGCGGGGGTGTGTGAAAGCTCATCCGTGTATCCTTTAATCCTGCCTCCCTCTATATCTGGTCATAATTCTCTTGTTTCCATCTCAGAAATAATCCTTTTATTATTCCTCTGAATAATATTCCATTGTATGGTTGTATCACAGTTTATTCATCTACCAAAGGACATCTTGGTTGCTTCCAAGTTACTTTCCTCCTCATGACTAAGCTCAGCCTGCTTCATTCTACGTGTAATAGGGAGAGTGACCTGAGAGTTTTCCCAACCAGAGAATCATGTCACATTTTTTTAATTAAAATTTTTTAATAGTAACTATATTCATGATTCAAATTTCAAAAAGTATAAAAAGTGAAATCTCTCTTCCTAAATGTATCCCATTGCCAACGAGTTCTTTCTCACAGGCATTGTTAACTTTTTTGTATATGCCCTTCCAGAGATATTTTATTATACACACACACACACACACACAGTGAATATGAATTTTTTTTTTTTTTTTTACATCAGTGGTGGGTTCATGCTCTTCTTCACCTTGCTCTATTTATTTTTAAATTTATTGTAGGAAGAATTTTGAATAGATACAAAAGTCAGTCTGTATAATGAGCCTTCATGTACTTATGTCCCGGCTCCAGACACCATCAATCATGGCTAAACTTGCACCATTGTTTTTAATCCCCACCCGAGGATATTTTTTCCATTGCTTTTCGGGTGGGGGGGACATAGATGTGAGAGAGACACATCATTTGGTTGCCTCCTGCACTTGCCCCACCAAGGCCAGGGATCGAACCTGCAACCTAGGTACTTGCCCTTGGTCGGAATCGAACTCAGGACCCTTCAGCCCTCGGGCCAACACACTGTAACCACTGAGCCAAACCGGCTAGGTCTTTGCTCTTTTTTTAATAGACTTTATTTTTTAGAGCAGTTTTATATTTATAGAAAAATGAGCAGAAAGTACAAAGTTCCCATATATTTCCCCCACACACCAGTTTCCTCTTATTAACATCTTGCATGAGCCAGTCTAGGTGAATTATTATTAACTCAAGTCCATAGCTTATAGTTTCCATTCTTTATGTTGTACATTGTATGAGTTTTGACAAATGTATAGTGACACGTATACACCATTACAGTAAAGGTTCCTCCATGTCTTTGGGAGGCTTGGTAGTTTATTTCCTTTTATTGCTGAATAATATTTTATTGTACCACAATTTATTTGTTCACCAAGTGAAGAACACCTCAGTTGCTTTCAAGTTCAGGCATTTAGCACCTTCTTTTTAACTTCACATATCTTGCTCAATGTATTGTACCGCAATAAGATTAAATTCAAACTCCGACTTGCCAGACTTGTTGCTCTCCCTCCACCACCACAAAATCAGTGTGTCCCATTCCAGTTGCTATAACTTTACCTTTTTTCTTTTGTTTTCTTTCCTTTTCTTTGCTTTTCAGTCATCTCCTACTTGCACTCACACCTTTCATTGGGGTGAGATACAAGGGAGATAAGGCATTTTTATAAAATTTATCAAGGCCCATTACACCTCCCACCTTGTCCCATGTGGGCCACTGTAGGAGGGGTTCACTGAGCAGTGTAGTCAGCCAGGTCGCCATTATCTTTATGATCCTGGGTCACTGAATGCAGATATCCTCAGTAAGGGATCTATATACTTCTGTATAATATCTGCTTTGGTTTTTATTTTATGTCAGAAATATTCCAAAAGGAATTTCCAAGAAGGGTAGGAGAGTGACAATATGTGTGTTTAATATGATTAGAGATTGTAAATATAATGATTGTGTCACTAAATTAGGTGAATTTTTAAATTAAGTACTTTTATTAAACCATTTTATAAATCTCAATTTAGTTTAGTTTCTTTTCCTACTGTTTTGTAGATAATATCTTTTTCTTTCTTTAAAACCATTAGGTAAAGGAGGTAAAAATAGACGTAGAGGTAAGAATGAGAATGAATCTGAAAAAAGAGAATTGGTGTTCAAAGAAGATGGGCAAGGTAAGCGTTTTCATAAGTTAGATTTCTTTTAGTAATATTTTTGTTTTTTAAATATGGAATTTCAATTTCTAAACATAAAAGAGATACTATTCATAATCCTGAGCAGTGAATTGCATGTCCCTTTTTGCTCTTCTCCGTTTCCTTTGGTAATCATTTCTTGGTATACTCAGTGAGGATTGGTGGTGTTTTTGTAAATGTATAGGTTTCATTGTGTTGCATGAACACCCATAGCTAAGAGCAAATTATACAGTTCAGAGGGAAGTAAGCCTCAAAAGTGATGGTTGACAATTCCATGATTTAGTAGACCTTTTTGATAGTAAATGGTGCTACATAGTATGTGCAGTATACCATGGATACTTGAGGGATGAATCTGAAGCCTTTCCCACTTCTCCAGTGCCAGTAGCATATAATTTCATAAATATAATAAAATGAAATTGAGCATTTGACTGACCATTTTGAACCAATGAAGATATATAATACTAGTTTCTTATATTTTTATTTTGAGTAATTTCAAATCTTCAGAAAAGTTCCAGTATTTAGTACAATGAACTTTTTAAAAATTACCCTTTGGGTACGTGCGTGTTGAACCATTTGAAAGTTAGTTGTGGACTTCATATTACTTTTCCTTTACTACTACATCATGTGTCTCTTAAGAACAGGTATATTCTCTTACATAACAACAACAGAAACACGCGGGTAATTTAACCTGAATATATTATATATCCAGTATATGACCCATATTCAAAATTTTCCAGTTATCCTAATAATTTCCAGCACTTTTTTTTTTAAATTGTATATTTTTTAATATATCTTTATTGATTTCAAAGAGAGGAAAGGAGAGGAAGAGAGAGAGAAACATCAGTGATGAGAGAGTCATTAATTGGCTGCCTAGCCTGCAACCCGGGCATGTGCCCTGACTGGGAATTGAACCCCGATCCCCTGGATCCCAGGCCAGGCTCCAGCACTTTTTAACAAAGAAAAATTTTTGTAGTCTTTTTATAGAACTTTGGTGATTTGTTCACACCGTATAAAAATGAAACGTGTTTTCTGGCTAAGGGACCTTTTTGATTCTTAGCCTTAGTCATTCTAGCCCCTGTTAGCAGTTGTCTTGATTTTGACTGCCACTATTTCTTTTTCATATTTTTCCCCCACTATGGAAGAGAGTCTGTCTTTGAATTGACCGACCATGTTGAGGCGCTAGGTTCACTGTATGTAGTCTGAGTAACTAACTTCCACTTCTCAATCCCACAGTTGAGCTTTTCAGAGTTACATCTCTGTTTACCAGTTAGTGGCTATCCTGTTTGGGGGTTAGTCTAATGTACAACTTGAGTAAGCTAAAGGGTCTGAAGTGATGCAT